CAGTTCCACTCTGTCCTCTAGGGGCGCTGTGGGTCAGAATCGACTCCACAGCAGTGGGTGTGGTTTGGGCTTTGCTTCTGTGAAGATTGACTGCCTTGGAGACACTGTGGTGCAGTTCCACTCTGTCCTCTAGGGGCGCTGTGGGTCAGAATCCACTCCACGGCAGTGGGTGTGCTTTGGGCTTTGCTTCTGTGAAGATTGACAGCCTTGGAGACCCTGTGGGGCCCCTGTCCTCTAGGGGCGCTGTGAGTCGGAATCCACTCTAAGGCAGCAGGTTTTGGTTTTTCAGTCCTGGTATTGTGGTGCTTGAAAGAGTCTTTACCTATTAGACGTACTGAAGTGGTTGCATAGTCCGTTCTCTGATATCTGCGATTTACTGTACACAGCTGGTTGTTGTGGGGGGATGGGGTTTCTGGGAGTTGATGCTGGTGGGCCCTGGGGCCTCATCATACCATCTCTCTGCTCTTGTATGTGTTTGAATTTCCCAAAGTAAAAATAACATTGAAAGGAGGAAGAGTAGAGAAAAGGAGTCAGAAGGGACAGTAGTTTGAATTTTATTTCGAAGAGTAAAACATTTCACATGCGCTCCTGTGTGGGTCTGGCAGGTACAGTCCTATTCCATGACTTCTTTTGTTTTCATGTTTGTGTTTCTGCTTTTGCTACATGTTGTTTCTTTTCCTTTCAGGGAGCCATCATTCTTCCTCTGGCAATGAAGTGATAGAAACGGAGTTACCAATGGAAGGTTAGAGGAGGGGCATTGTCTTTCCTGGTTTCTAGTTTACACTGTTTTACAGAGAACACAGTTGAAGGCCCGTGTTTGAATCAGAAGGGGACTTCCTGCGTGCCTTTGTCTGGAGCCGTGGTCCACGTGGGCTGGTCGGGTCTGTCTTTCAGGGATGCTACCGGACGCTGGATGGGGAAGCTGGGTGCTCACACAGCGTCTCCCCAGTGCAGTCCGCTTCTATAACTTGTTTTGTCTTGTTGGTGGCATCCCAAAATGCTTCTGAACAGAGATGAATAATATTTTAGGAAATTCTTGAATTGGAATGGAAATGTGATAATACTCTCTCTCCATTCATACGTAAACCCTCAGCATCCTCATTTAAGGCCCAGACTCTTAAAGCGGTTGATCCATGTCCAGGATAAAATTTAAAAAGGAGATTATCTCTCGAAATCTGGAGGCATGAAATATCTATCAGCATACCCACCCACTGCCATCACTCGATTTGACTCATGGCGACCCTGGTAGGACAGAGCAGAACTTCCGCATAAGGTTTCCAAGGCTGTCAATCTTGACAGAAGCAGTTGGCCTCATCTTCCTCCCAGAGAGCAGCTCATGGGTGCAAACCACCAGCCTTTTGGTTAGCAGCCAGATGCCTTAACCGCTATGCCACCAGAGCTCTTGTCGGTGTATGGGCAAGATTATCTGGCCTTTAGGAATGATATATTTTAGCTCCCAACAATTTTGTCTTTCTGTCAAAGTCAAGAACATTCTCCAGAGAGAACATTCTTCCAGTTTGGGAGCCAGAGTCTCTGGTGGGAACGATGGTTCTGACAGTTTGTTCTCTGACCCATGGGAGCTGTGATAGAATCTACCACAGCGAGAGGTTCCTTGTGGTGGAGGCCGGTTTTACAGCTGTCCACCACCTTTGCAGCACTCATTTTGACCTTAATTGCATAAGGCCTAGAAGTTACATTGACTGCTGTTACTTAACTCCCTTTCCTGTTTTTGGTTCTTTTTCTTCAACTCACTCTTTGACCTTCTTGGGATGTTAATCTTTTCCAGTCCAGTTTAAACCTGTTTCTCTTTCAAACTGTGTTACTTCGCTGCGGTGGAGCTTGTGTGGTATTGATTGCATTGTCATATTTAAGCACAAGTAGGGCCATATTGGGGAGCTCTGGTAGCATAGTGCCTAAGGCACTTGACTGCTAACCAGAAGGCTGGCGGTTCAAACCCACCAGCCACTCCTTGGAAGGAAGATGGGGCAATCTTCCGTAGTGATACTGCCTCGGAAACCCAAGGAGGGATCACTATGAGTGGGGTCTGACTCGATGGTACATAACAACAAGGGCCATATTGAGAGAGAGGACAATCTGCATGGAAGACAGCTGTGGAGATGGTGTTCCCTGGAGACTCAGAATTACTTTACTGGGCATTGGCTTTCGGATACTTCACTCTTGATTTTTTTTATTATCACAGTACAGTGGGAAGTCCATGTAGAGTAGAGCTGAATCAGTGTGGGGTTTTTTGTTTTGTTTCGTTTTACTTTTTATTCTGAAATAACCGTTGATTTTCAGGAAGTTGCCCAGAGTACAGAGGCCCCACATACCGTCACCCAGGTTCTCCCAAAGGTTGGGCTTGCGTATCACAGTACAAGATCCAAACAGCAGGTCTGAGGTCCAGGCTTTCCCTCTGATCATGGTGAAGCGTCGGCAAAGCCCATGAGAGCTGGGGGAGGCGACCCCCGGCGGGCACGGCCTTGTTTCTCTTCTCACGGAATTTACTTACCTCTTTGGTCTGCACACAGAACTGGGTCCATCTGTCTTAATTCTTGTCCACAAGAAAAGCTTATTGCGCCCCCATGTAATGGTAAAATTTGGGTCCCCCTGGGGTTGCTCACAGGAGGGGGGAGCTATTTACCAGAACAAAGTCCTTTTCTTATCCTAACCCTGTGGTGATAGGAAAACTCTAGACCTCGTGAATCCCGTTCCCCCAGATAGAAGGACTTCTGTGCCCACGGCTGTGGGGGCTGTGTTACACGACAATATCTGAACGCTTCTCACCTTCCCTCCTGCCTTTCTAAAGCTAAAAATCACTGTCACCACAAGTATGACGTATATTTAAAATGCCAGTTAACTTTAGGAGAAGCTACTTTTTTTTTGGTATAAGAGCCATAAAATGTTGGAACATGAGGGGAATACTTAATAATGAATGTCATTTTAGACATTTTTTTTTCAAGGTTCTACTCAGGGTGTCCCTTCAGAAGCAAACCAGGAGGCCGAAGGTGAGGTGAAGGTGGAAGGTTAGTTGCCTTGTCCCATTCCTATTGCTAAGTGTGGTGTCATCCTTTCTAAAAAGATTATGGTGGGGAAACGGAAGTGTGTGTGTGTGTGTGTGTGTGTGTGTAACCCAGTGCCCGTGGTTCCCGCTCAGCTGCTAGCCAAAAGGATTGTGGTGTATATGTGGGAAACGGAAGTGTGTGTGTGTGAGTGCAACCAAGGAGTCTCTGGGCAGTGCCCATGGTTCCTGCTCAGCTGCCCAAGGTTGGCAGTTCAAGTCCACCCAGCGCCCCTCAGAAGGAAGGACTGGTGCTCCTCTGCCAACCACCAGCCCCTGGAGACCCTGAGGAGCACAGCCCTCCTGTGAGCCACGAGGGGTCGCCGTGAGTCAGAGCTGACTGGAAGGCAGCTCGTGGTGGTGGCCGTGTGACGGAAGCAGCCTGTATTCCCGCCACGTCCCCCAGTGCTTTGGGTTTTTTAGGTAACACAGTTTATCCCCTTGAAGCCGTATTTACTTACTTCTTTCTTTGTGCTGAGTGGGTCCTTTTATTTAGAGATAACGTTACCAGTGGTCCTCAGATTGATTCTGACTCTGAGGACACCCCATGAGTGTCAGGGTAGACCTGTTTTCTGGTTCCCTAGTGCCGCTCTGACAGGAATATACCACAAATGGGACGGCCTTAATAAACAGGAGTTTATTTTTACAATTTGGAGTCTTTAAGTCCAAGTTCAAAGTGCCAGGCTCTAGGGACTGGGTGAAAGCCCCTCAACCTTGGGGTCCAGCTCTGCCTCCTGCTCCCGGCCCACAGGACCTGGAGGCTTTTCTTAACTCAAACAGCTGCTGGCTGCTGAGGCTGAGAAGCCCCACAGTTGACAAGGAAAAAGGCACAGTCCTGATGTTACCAAACCACACAGCAGGCCATTAACTTAAGTCCATTGTAAGTCCCAAGGTCGGCAGAGGATGGCAGGCTGCTGAGCAATGACACAGCTACGTGCAGGGTCCAAGCGTGCCATAGGCTAGAGACCATTCTCAAAACTTCTTATATACGGGAAGCAGACCACATCCCAAAGCAGCTCCTCAGCTGCTTGTGGTAGATCCCACCATGGAGCTGATTACCAGTCTCATCATGGGGGATAACTACCACCAGCTGCCCAGCCACTCAACCAGGCCCAGCCAAGTTGACACACAAACACAACCACCACAGCTGTGCTCCCAGGGTTTGCACGGGCTGGTCACTCAGCAGTTGCCAGGCCTTCCTTCCGAGGAGCCTGTGAGTGAACTTGAACCTTCCACCTTCTGGTACTTAAAAAAAAAAAAAATTATTGAGGTGAAATTCACATAACATAAAATTAACCATTTAAAAGTGACCAGTGCAATGGGACTTAGTACCTCACAGTATGAATGTACTTAGCGTCACTTGCGGGTCCTGAAACATTTCCAGCACCCTGAAAGGGGACCCATACCCATTAAGCAGCTGTTCCCCTTGCCTTTCCCATCCCTAGCCCAACCCCTGACAAGCACCTGTTGGCCATCTGTCTCTGTGTGGATTTAGCGATTCCAGTTAGTTCATAGACACAGAACCACACGGAGTGTGACCTGTTGTGTGTGGCTTCTTTCATGTCATATGTTTGAGTGTTTTTGGGGGTCCATCTGTGTCCTAGCAGGGCTCAGGGCTTCACTGCCTTCTGTAGCTGAATAATGCTCCATTGTCCCCGTGGACCACCGTTGGCTGACCAGTTCATCCACCGATGGACACTGGGGTGGTTTCCTTAAAGTACTGCCAAGAATTTGAACCATCCCACATTAGAGTCAAAGTCCAGCCTTAAACTGATTGATAGGAAACATTCTACATGGTGACCTCTCTACAGCACCGTTGTCCTTGGGCCTAATTGTTCCCGGTAAATCATTTCACCGCTGACGTACACGCATCTAGTGAAGCTCAAGCATTTGGGCGTCCACCCACAGGGCGTCCTCTCCTCCTTTGTCACGTGAGGGTTGTTGTGACGGCTCTTACAGCAGCCAGGTGAGGGATTTTAAATTTACATCTAAGGCAACTGGACATTTGACTCAAAAAGAACCATTGTTCGTGTGGAGTGTTACGGAGGAGTTAAGACTTGGCCCCTTGGAGTGAAAGTATGATCCACTTATTTGAAATGTGCAAGGTAATGAATAGGTTAACAGCTGACTTTCATGCATTAATTATAATTGGGTTTTGGTCATTTCAAGAGTGACACTGTGCTTGGTGTGTTTTGGGAAAGCTTTTTATATTTTAAGGGGTCAGTTTTTACGATAAAACATAAACACTTTGGTTATATTACAGTATGACTATTGGGGAGTCCTTGAGGGGCTGCTGACCAAAAGTTTGGACGTTCCAGTCCCCCCAGAGGAGCCTTGGAAAAAAGGCCTGGTGATCAATGTCCAATGAATCAGCCCTTGAAAAATACGAATGGGGGAACCCAGGACCTCACCCTCTGGTCTGTCTGGTGTGGAGTCTTCCAGTGAGAGAAGACTAACCTCAGCACTCAGGTCCCTTCCAGCATCGTCCAGGCCAAAGAGTAGCCCACAGGCTGGAAACATGCTACAAAACGCAGATGCGTTAATCCTCCCGCGAATGCGAGCTTTGCCACGGTCAGCAGAGCGGAATAGACTCTGAGGACCTGTGATTCTGAGGGATTAGAACAATATATAATTTTGGTGTTGGTGAAGAATACTGAAAGTACCATGAACTGCCAGAACCAATCAATCTGTCTTGGAAGAAGCGTAGCCAGCATGCTCCTAGAAGCAAGGATGGCCAGACTTCATCTCACATATGTTGGTCATGTTACCAGGAGAGACCAGCCCCTGGGGAAGGACATCAGGCTTGGTAAAGAAGAGGGTCAGTGGAAAAGGGGAAGGCCCTCAGTGATACGGCCTGACACAGTGGCTGCAATGTTGAGCTCACACAGTGTGAGGATGTCGCAGGACCAAGCAGTGTTGCATTCTGTTGTGCGTCCAAACCAAACTCACTGCCATCGAGTCCGTTCCAACTCACAGCAGCCCCCTTTGGGTTTCCAAGGTGGTAAATCTTTATGAAAGTAGATTGCCCAGTCTTCCTTCCACTGAGTGGCTGGTGGGTTTGAACCATCAACCTTCTGGTTAGCAGTTGTTTTGGTTACCTCTGTGTTGCTCTAACAGAAAATATACCACAAATGGGATGCTTGAATAAACAGGAGTTTATTCTCTTACAATATGGAAGATTTAAGTCTGAGTTCAAAGTGCCAGGCTCTAGGGGCTGGGTGAAAGCCCCTCAACTTTGAGCTTTAGCTCTGCCTCCTGCTCCCGGCCCACTGAAGCCGGAGGCTTTCCTTCACTTAGACAGCCGCTGGCTGCTGAGGCTGACAAGCCCAAGGTCGACAAGTGAAAAGGCACAGTTCCAATGTTACCAAACAACATGGCAGGCCACTAATTCAAGTCCAGATGAAGTCCCAAGATCAGCAGGGCATGGCAGGCTGTTGAACAATGACTTGGCTACATGTAGGGTTCAAGTGTGCCAAAAGGCTAGAGACCATTCCCAAAGCTGCTGCTTATATACAGGAAGCAGACCACATCTGTAAAGCAGCTGTTCAGCTGCTTACAGTAGATCCCACCGTGGAGTTGATTGCCAGTCTCATCATGGGGAGTAACTACCACCAGCTGCCCAGCCATTCAACCAGGCCCAGCCAAGTTGACACACAAACTACCACAGCAGTCAAATGCCTCAGGCACTGTGCCACCAGAGCTCCTTCTGTTGTATATAAACCAAAAAAAAAACAGACTCACTGCCGTCGAGTCGGATCCGACTCCTAGCAACCCCTCCTTGGATTTCCAAAGTGGAATCACTATGGAAGTAGATCTTCCTTCCGAGGAGTGGCTGGTGAGTTTGAACTGCCAGCCTTCTGGTTAGCAGTCAAATGCCTTAGGCACTATGCCACCAGAGCTCCTGATTATGGAACCAAGAAATTTGAAATCTTTGACAACTTCAGTCTTTTCTTCATTAATCATGATGCTGCTTATCGGCCCAGTTGTGAGGCTTCTTATTTTCTTCATGTTGAGATGTAACCCACATTGCAGACTGAAGTCTTTAATCTTCATCAGGACGTGCTTCAGAGGCGTTAACTACCCTGAAATATCTCTTATTGCGAGGTGGTGGCGGAATCCACAGTAGCTTCAGGAACCTGTTACTGTGGAGCCTGGTGCTTAGATCCCACGATTCATTAGGTTTCTCTAAAAAGTGAGTAGCGTTGAGGTCCGGAGCAGCCAGTGTCCTCCCCACAGTGCGTGTGTGGACTGTTCAGAGCTGCGTGAAGCTTTGCAGAAACCCTGGGGCCATGGTCGACCAAGCGGTGACTGGGGTTCCTTTGATACCTTCCTCTTCATGCGGCGTCTCTCAGACCCCAAATGTTGATCATCTGCCAAACGTACTGATGGAGTTTCCGGATCTTAGACACAATCAGACAGGCCTGTGCATGTTGTTCCCATTTAGCTCCTGTGCCTGTGGCATTTCTCATCCGATCAGAAAACATAATCATACCAACAACCCTGCCCTAGCCTTTGCTTGCCCCTTTCCGTTAAGTCTTTTTTTTCCCCGATATTTATTTATTTTGTTTACTTTTCGTTTCTTTCCCATTAAATCATTTTTATAGGATGTCTGCTTTTTCAGTGTTCTCTAAGACATATTTACACCTTATTCCCTTTCCTTTCCTGTAAACGGATAGTTACAGCAAAGGGAACGCACTTCTTAACACTCTTCTTTTCAATCAAATGAGACTGACTAGAGCATTCCCAACCCTAGTTCCCAGTTGCCTTTGAGTCAGTTCCGACTCGTGACGGCCCCACGAGTGTCAGGGTGGGACTAGGCCCTGTGGGGTTTCCAGGAGCTGACTTGTCGGACGCAGATCACCAGGCCTGTCTTCTGAGGCACCTGGGTGGACACGAGCCTCCAACCTTTTGGCCAGTAGCCAAGCCTGTTAACCACCAGGGGACTCCAGTGCGGTACTGGAGGCTGAGAACCGAATAAAAGCCAGTACGCCTTTCCCCTTCGATGTCAGTTACATTGCATAAATGCTCAGTTCATCCTGCAGCAAAGAGTTCTCTGAAGTTTTAAAAATCCAGCCAGGGCTTCTGGTCACAGTGGCCCTTGGACATATTTAGAGGAGATTTCACCTAATTTTCTGTAAATTCCATTTCTGTTTTAAGGAATCTCAAATTCATCTGGTTGTACGCATTCAGCGGCCCGCGTCGAGGATCTTAACATCGTTCAGGTGACAGTTGCAGGTATGGAGGTTTGTGTGACTCACAGTCTACATTATACTTTTCGGTTGTCTGAACTGCTTTCTGATGTGGGGTTGTCTCTTGTCCTTTGCTCAGTCCTCCTGATGACTAAGGACTGTGCCACACTGAGGGCCTTGCCCATTGCGCACAGTGTCAATGCATCTCCCAACCGAGGCCTAGCGTTACATAGAAAATCTGCCAGAGGGCTGCTCCGGACACCAGCTACCAGGGAACTGGCCTTGGCCTCAGAGGAAAAACTTATTCGCTACTCACCTTTTTATTTTTTTTTTAAATTGTGATTTAGATGAAGTTTATAGAGCAAATTCATTTTCCATACAGCAGCTCACATACACTTTGTCTCATGACGTTGATTGCAATTTCCCACCATGCAACAGCTCCCCTCCTACGTCCTCCCCAGAGTCAACTCTTCCCTGTGTCCTTCCCTCCATGCACTCCTGCCCCCTGAGCTGTCTCCCTGTGCATACACAGTCCTTCTATTCTCTCATGATTGTTCTCTCCAAGAAGTGTATCTACCTAATATAAATGTTCAGCTCATATGCCTGTCTTTTGTTTGGCTGGAAGCCACGGAGTGGGTTCAATTCCAGACCTAAAGGGCAGCTAGGGGCCATAGTCTCAGGGGTTCTACCAGGTTCTATCAGACCAGCAAACCTGGTCCCCCCCCTTTTTTTTTTAATGATTTTGAGTTTTGTTTCACATTGTTCTCCCTCTCCATCCAGAATCTCCTCCATAGATCCCCCTCCGAGTGGTTGGCAGTGGTAGCCAGGCACCATCTAGTTCTTCTGGTCTCATAGTCCTATAGGCTGAGGATCACATGGTGTACCAGTCCCTTGGACTAACTGTTTACATGTGTCTTTGGTTTTCTTCATTCTTCTTTGCCCTGGACGAGAAGAGACCCATCGTTGATCTAAATAGCAGCTTGCAAGCTTTTAAGATCCCAGTCACTACTCGCCAAAGTAGGATGTGGAACAATGTTTTTGTTTAGTAGGTTATGTCAGTTGAGCTTGATGTCCCCTGAGACTGTGGTCCTGTGTGCTGCCCACCTTTAAGTAATCTTTTTTTCTGAATATGTGCATATAAAATAAATCTGGAAAGTACAAAAGAATCAAATACCCCACTTCCTCCAGCGAAAGAGACTGGGGCTGGGATAGAGATGAGAGTGGCATTTCACTCTGCACTATTTTATACCTCTTGAATTTTGACTCGTGGTTGCTTTAGTTGCTCAAAATTAAATAGAATAAAAGATGTAAAGTATTGAAAACTATTCCTTTCTAATCCTGATGCATCTTATTCTTTTACTTGTCTTAATGCATTGGCCAGGATTTCTACTATGGTGTTGAAGGGCTGTGGTAAAAGTGGACGTCCTTGTCTCACATAATGTTGGAAATGTTCCTATAAGTAGTATGTACTATTTTTACACAGGGTTACAGTTTGGAAAAATCTCCGTTGTCTTTAATGGTTTCCATCCACAAGTTCCCAAAATGCTCAGTCAGCACTAAGCGAAAACTGGATGACAAGCCAAGTAAAGTGCTTTCTCAGGTGTTCACAGGCACTTCCTCCAATACTCTCTGGGGGGAAAATACACTAATAGATCTGGCTTGTTTGTTTAACTGTTTTTAGATAATGAGAAGGAAAGATTGTCAAGTGCTGAAAAGATTAAACAGCTAAGAGAACAAGTCAATGAGCTCTTCAGCCGAAAATTTGGTAAGTTGTATCATTAGATGAAAATCTATATACTTGAAAGACTTCTTTTTAATCAATACTTTATCCTGTAAAAAATTGATCTTTCCGTGAAGGAGCTATGATCAAAATCAGTCAAGTCGTGTTTTTACCAAAGAGCTTTTAACATGGGAACCCTGACTAATGAGAGCACTCCTGCCAGCAGTTGCTATCTCTGATTTATTGAGCTCTTACACAGTCGAGCGTTGATTTTAGTGTTTGACATTTTTTAATCATTCGATCCACACAAAAACCTTCTCAGGTAGATACTATGATAATCTCTATTTAGTACATGGAGAAACTGAGTCCTCTATCCATGGCCAGTTTCAAACTCAATAAAATCATACCTATGCATCACAGTAGGAGCTCTGGTAGCATAGTGCCTAAGACACTTGACTGCTAACCAGGAGGCTGGCAGTTCAAACCCACCAGCCACTCCTCGGAAGGAAGGTTGGGCAATCCTACTTCTGTAGTGATAACTGCCTCGGAAACCCAAGGAGGGGTCGCTATGAGTCGGGGCCGACTCGACGGCAAATAACAACAACAACAACATGCATCACAGTACTTCTGGGAAATAAAGTAATCATGGCTGGTCATCGGTGCTGTCAGTTGTCTGAGTGATTTTACAATCTTGACATTGAAAATGCAGCACAGAGTATCAAAAGTAAGTGACAAACCTGAGATCAGAAGAACTAGATGGTGCCCGGCCACCACTCCTGACCATTCTGACCAAGGACACAGTAGAAGGCCCTGGTGAGAATGGGAGAAAAACGTAGAAGAGAATTCAAATTCCTAAAATAAGGCCAGACCTACTGAACCGATGGAGACCAGAGGAACCCCTGGGACTGTTGCCCTAAGATAACCTTTGAACGTGAACTATTTCCACAAGTCACCTTTCAGCCGGATAAGAGACTGGTTTATAAAATAAACAATATCACCCGTGAGAAATGTGCTCCCTTAACAACCAATGACATGAGACCCCGTGGTCAATGCTCACCCAAAAGCAAAGATAAGCACAGATGGGGAGGGGGAGGGGGAGGGGGAGGACGCTGGGTCAGTGGACACAGAACAGTCAGTGGAAGTAATGAGACTGCTGACCCGTTGGGACCTTTGTAACCAAGGTCACAGAACGTTTGTTATGAAAATTCTTAAATGGGAACCTGATTTGCTGTGTAAACTTTCACCCAAAGCACAATCGAAGATTATTTTAAAAACAATTTAAAAAAAAGCAAGTGGCCAAGTCAACTCATTGTACACGGCTTGTCTCATTGCAGGTGAGGCAATTGGAGTGGATTTCCCTGTGAAAGTTCCCTACAGGAAGATCACCTTCAACCCTGGCTGCGTGGTGGTGGATGGCTTGCCCCCTGGGGTGGCCTTCAAAGCCCCCGGCTACCTGGAAATCAGCTCCATGCGGAGGATCTTGGATGCTGCCGAGTTTATCAAGTTCACAGTCATTCGGTGAGTGCCCTGGGTGGTCCTGGGAAGGCCTCTGGTGGTCAGAAGGTGAAGCCACCTTCCCGCCCAGGCACATGCAGGAAAGGGACCCACCACTTGCGGGTAATGCAGTGAACCGATGAGACATGGCTGCTTGTTCAGTTCTGTAAGATTAGATTCACGTTCTCAGGTATCAACTGGATCGTTATTTGATTCTGTACGTAGGAAGATGTTCTGAATTTGTTTCAAAATAACAGAGGTAAATCACTTGAAAAGTTGTATTTCCATCAAACCCTGTATAAGACTTTGAACTTGAACTATGGTTATTAACCTCTTCAGTTTCGTCCTCCCTAGAATCCTTTGCACTCTAACCCCCATCAAGCCTGTCTGGTCCCTGAATTCTGAGCAAACGAATCTCCATGTTTCCCCAGATCCCAGTTTTTTTTAAAGAGCAGAGGAGATCAGAAGGGAGTATAAGCTTTGGCTTCGTTGTAAACCCTCAGCCCGAGCTCCACCCTAACGTCGCAGGCCTGCGGTGCTTCAAGCAGTTTTCAATTCATTCATAAGTGACTCCATTCTCATTCCCACAGTAGCTGTTTTCCCCACTCCTGGTGCCTGGGCCACCCTCTCCCCACTTTCAGCAAATGACCTCGCTTCCCTGTTGCAGGCGGTTGGGGGCACCCCGTGAGCTCAGCAGTGGTGATAGCCCACCTCTTCTGCGGCCCAGTCTAGGGTCACTCCTCATGCCTTTTCACTAACACAGTTGATGGGCGCCAAGTTCGCCTCCAGGCTCAGAGCCCTTTACCTGCTCCTGCCGCCAGGGGGAGCTCTAAAGCGCTCTCCAGAGAAGTCTGGCACCAACCGCCCACATCAAACATCCGAGGTCACCATACGGTGCTGTTCACCCTGTAGGACTGGCCCTCAAAACTCTGCCTAACCCCCTTTCTAGCCTAAGCTAAGAGTAAGCTCAGACGACTCCGCGCATGGGCCCTGTCGGCTCCAATCCTCTCCTTCCTTGCTTCTGTTACTGGTCATGATTGCAGGTACCAGCACCTGCATGACATTGACTGTGGCATTTCCAGCCCCGCTGGAAATCTCTCGTGTACCGTTTAGTCCCTCTCCTCAGGAGCCCTGACAGGTAGGCCCCGTTGAGCCTCACTGTACAGATGAGGAAACCGAGGCAGGGAGCAGCTGATCCACTCGCCCGGGGTCACAGGGCTGTCCCTGCAGCTCCCACTGTGCCAGGCTGCCCCTCCCCTCAGGTGGTCATACTGGGCCTCTGTGGGTCACGCGCCCGCTTCTGTTCCCCAGGACGGTGGTCAGCCTGAACCGTTTTATCTCCCGTTGCCCCTAGCATAGCGTTAACTCTGCAGTTTGTCAGATGCGGCTAAATGGACAACAGAGAAAAAATGGACTTTGTCACATTCAACAATGTCTCTTTCTCTTCAGACCGCTTCCAGGAGTTGAGCTTAGTAACGGTGAGTACTTTGCGTGGTGAGAACGTCCCAGCACCTTCCATGCTGTGTGAAGTGACTCTCAGGGGCCCTCCCCGCAGGGTCTCTGCCTCCAGAGCCCTGAGCCCAGCTTCTCCTGTGGACATGGACTGCATTTTTCCGGCACGTTCGACGGTTCTGTAATTCTGTCGCTCGAGTTTCGAGTTTCGTTAAGCAGCCCTCTTGTCTTCCTCACACAGCAGTGTGACGTCGTTTGCTTGCTGGTCACACTCTTACTTGAGAGTCCCTTACGGCAGGTGCTGCTTGTGGCCACAGCACAGCTGCACGCGTGGCTGTGACAGTGAACACTCCGTGTCAGCACGGCCACCCCTACCTGTGCCCCAGACCCCCGACTGCCCAGTAATTCTAAACCAACAGGGGCAATGCCTGGCCCACTCAGGGCCCCCAGAACCTCTCCAGGCCTAAGGTTGACATCTGTAGTGAGAGGCAGTGCCCACGCCATTCTGCTTCTCAAATATTTTTAGTATCTCCCTGGAATCCTTGAAAGGAAGCCGGTAGCCTGCAAGGTGGGCGAGGCAGAGGGTGGAGCTGGTCTCAAGGGTTCCAGTCACTAGGCGCCTCCTCACAGAAAGCTGGAAGCCTCAAGTGTTGGTTGGTTGGTTGGTGTCAGACAGCTAGTGTCTGACTGCAAGTGTTGGTTGTTGGTTGATGACTCCTGAACTCACCTGGCTGTTAAATGACTTTCTACATTTTAATGGCTTTACCGAGGTAGCAGTGAGGTTCTCCTCTTGTGTTGAGTGATTTTCAGTAATGCTTTGAAGTGCACTTACCGAGTTGTGCAACCCTCACCACATTCTAACTTTAGAACTTCCATTATGCCCCAAAACGAGGCTGCCTACCCATTTGCAGTCACTTCCCATCCCCGCCCTCAGCCCCAGCCAGCCTCTAATTGTCTGTGTCTGCAGATTTGCCTGCGTTTCCTGGAAGGGCCTTCTCCTCTCTTTGTTCTCTGGACATGCAGGGCACCTGCACAGTGGCCAGGCATCCGAGCTTACAGCCCTGGCACCTTTCCCCTTGAACACGTTGACGGGCACAGGGGCCGTGCAGGTCTATGGCCGCACTGGGGTCTTTTGTGACTCCCAACAAGTGAACCATAAGCCTCTGGGCTCGTCCCTTCTCTGTTATTTCCAACTTGTCTTGAGGGTCAAATGAGAAAAATATGTTAAGAAGCAGATGTGTTGTCACTGAGTTCTGGGTTAGGCCGGACACACAGACAGCTACCTGCAGGCCCTCAGCATGATATCATTGGTTTGATCACGTACCTTTTAAGGATGGAAATTGCAGCAATTTTTTTTTTCCATAAAGATCCAGATTTCCAGGTTTCCTTTAGAAATGTGAAGAGCTGGCCACAGTGGGCCCATGTCCCGTCATGGTCGGTGTCCCCTCTAGGCTGTTCTCCGTTAGTCATGGGCCACCTCACCCAGGCACTCTGTCCCTCACCATTACCAGCGTGCTGTGCTCTTGTTTTTCTTAAAGTCGAGTTCAGAGAAAAGTGAAATCTTTTTTGTCCCGTGTCTCTGTCCAAAGTGGGAAAACGAAAGATAGACCAAGAGGGCCGTGTGTTTCAAGAAAAGTGGGAGAGAGCGTACTTCTTCATGGAAGTGCAGAACACCCCTACCTGTCTGATATGCAAACAGAGCATGTCCGTGTCCAAAGAGTACAACCTAAGGCGCCATTATCAGACCAACCACAGTAAGCACTTCGACCAGTACACCGAGGAGATGCGCGACGAGAAGCTTCGCGAGCTGAAGAAGGGGCTCACGGAGTACCTCTTGGGGTCAGCAGACGTCACGCGTCCCGAGCAGAACCAAGCACTCGCAAGTGTGAGTCCAGCAGAAAACGCTGTCGTGCAGCCCGTCGAAGACGTGGCTTGGAATTTGTGGGAGAAGTTACGTGAGAAAATCAGATCATTTGTGGCATATTCTATCGCGATTGACGAGATCAGAGATACCAACAATACCACCCAGTTGGCCATCTTCATCCGTGGTGTCGATGAGAACTTCGATGTATCAGAAGAACTTTTGGATACGGTGCCCATGACAGGTACAAAATCTGGAAATGAGATATTTTTACGAGTGGAGAAAAGTCTTAAAAAGTTTAACATCGACTGGTCAAAATTAGTAAGTGTGGCGTCCACGGGCACTCCTTCGATGGTCAATGTCAACGATGGACTTGTCACAAAGCTGAAGTCCAAGGTGGCGATGTCTTGCAAGGGCTCCGATCTTAAGTCTGTTTGCTGCATCATTCACCAGGAATCGCTCTGTGCTCAGAAGTTAAAGATGGACCACGTCATGGACGTGGTGGTTAACTCGGTGAACTGGATATGCTCTCGTGGCCTGAACCACAGAGAGTTCACAACGTTGCTGTACGAACTGGACAACCAATATGGCAGCCTCTTGTACTACACAGAGATTAAGTGGCTGAGCCGTGGCTTGGTGCTGAAGAGATTTTTCGAATCATTGAAAGAGATCGACTCATTCATGTTATCCAAAGGCAAACCCATGCCACAGCTGAGCTGCACCGACTGGATCAAAGACTTGGCTTTTCTGGTTGACATGACGACGCATCTCAACACCTTGAACATAGCTCTCCAAGGGCATTCACAAATAGTTACGCAAATGTACGACTTGATTCGGGCCTTCCTAGCCAAACTGTGCCTTTGGGAAACTCATCTGGCAAGAAATAACCTGGCCCACTTTCCCACCCTGAAATCGGTTTCCAGACACGAAAGCGACGGCCTGAACTACATCCCCAAGATTGCAGAATTGAAGACAGAGTTCCAGAAGAGGCTGGCGGACTTCAAGCTCTACGAAAGTGAGCTGACCCTGTTCAGCTCCCCCTTCTCCATGAAGATTGACAGCGTGCAGGAGGAGCTTCAGATGGAAATTATCGATCTGCAGTGCAACACGGTCCTGAAGACCAAGTACGACAAGGTGGGCATCCCGGAATTCTACAAGCACCTCTGGAGCAGCTACCCGAAGTATAAACGCCACTGTGCCAAGATCCTGTCCATGTTCGGGAGCACTCACATTTGCGAACAGCTGTTCTCTATCATGAAACTCAGCAAGAGCGAGTGCCCCTCCCAGCTCAAGGGCTCCCAGTGGGACTCCGTCCTGCACATGGCAACGTGATGAGGGGGCCGCCTGGGCAGCGCCCCGGGAGCTGCAAGACAGGGACCCTTCCGTCATGAGGGACTGTGACAAAATGAGTCACTGAAGGGTCCTGGTTCTGTGTCTTCCCTTTTGAACTAGAGAGACAATTTGCCATACCACACCGTTTTGTATGACGTTTTATGCTTCAGCGTAGTTCAGTAAAAACCAAGAACGTTCTCGTGGGTTTCTAGCAGTGATTTTTCTTACATCTGGCCTGATCCCCTCAGCTGCGTCCCCTGCCGACACTGGAGTTGACATCTCGAGGTTAAAATCATTCAGCAGAGAGGTAGACACAGACGCGTGTTTTCCTTTGTGGGTGTGAGTGTGCACACGTTTAGACCCTTCCCCACCTGTGTGATACACCTGCTGCAGTGCCCTCTGACCCCACGTGCGCTAATGTGTTTCCAAGGTCAAGCTTAGGGAGAGTCAGTTGGAGAAGTAGCCACACACTGTGGTGTTTCTGTCTGGTCTCGTCTGCCACACCCACCCAGAAAGGTCCAGCTTAAGGTAGAAAGCCCCGAAACACTGAGACTGTGGAAGACAGTGAGCTCGGGCTTTGGGTTTGTTTTGCTTTTTTGTGCTTTAGGAAGAGCCCATTATCTGTCCCTTCCACGGTCTGAACAGAAAGTGCTCCGCGGCACTGCTTACAGTCCCCACAGCGTGTCAGCACGCTCCCCTTTCTACCCCGGGTTCCCCTTTCATCCAGACTGTCTGCCCCTCCGGCCTTCCCACCTTGGCCTCCCCACAAATGCTGCCCTTTTGATCTAAGGAGCACATTCCTCTGTGCGTCATTGTTTATTTTATGGGCCTACGATGTGGCTGAAAGCTGTTTCTGGGAATGGCTTCCTTTCCGGGTCAGGAGGGTGTTGTTGCCCGGCTGCATAGTCTCCGGGGCTCCTCCAGTCTCTGTCCCACCAGGAAGTCTGGTGTTTTTTGTGAACTAGTTTGTTTGTTCTACATTTCTCTCCTCCTCTGTTCCAGACCCTCTGCTGTGATCCCAGTCAGGGTGGTCAGTAGCGGTAGCCGGGCACCAGCCAGTTTTTCTGGTCTCAGGGTCCTACAGGCTGGGATTCATGTGGTCCGTTAGTCTTTTGAACCAGTTGCTCCCTTGGTTGGTTGGTTGTTTTCCTGCGCTTTATTTTGAAATAATTCCAGATTTATGTAAGAGTTGGTTGCAAAAATATAAAACCTGAAAGAATACCGTATACCCTTTCCCCAGATTTCCGTAGTTAAAGCTGACTCCAGTGTGGGATTCCTTCTTCCCTCTTGCCCCTTTGTTTCTCGTAGACAGGTAGGTAGGTAGGTAGCTAACTGAAGCAGACACAGACGTAGACTTATGTCATACGTATAAACCAGACCCACTGCTGACCCGTGGATTCCGAGTCACGGGGACTCCACGGGTCAAACAGTGGAGCTGCAACACAGGGTTTTCTTGGCTGTGTTCTTGACGGAAGCAGGTAGCCAGCCCTTTCTCCTGTGGTACCACTGGGTGCATCCGAAACACCAGCGTTTACGTCAGCGGTCCAGCACGCACCATTTGTTCCACTTAAACTAAACCCACTGCTGTGGACCGTTTCACAGCGCCCCCTGGAGGACGGAGGAGAGCTGCCCCATAGGGTTTCCAAGGCTGTAATCTTCACCCAAATGGACTGCCACATCTTTCTCTAGTGGAGTGGCTGGTGGGTTTGAACTACCGACCTTTTGATTGGCGGCTGAGCGCTTTAACCACTGCACCACCAGGCACCCACCTGCATACATACATGTTGGTGGTGTTTAGGTGCCGGCCAGTAGGTTTTGCAACCCCTGGCTACTCTGTGTGAACATGTAGAGTAGCCCTCGAGGGTTTTCTAGTCTGTAATCTTAGTGGGGGCACAGACTGCCGCATCTCTCTGCTGTGGAGCTGCTGGATGGATTTGAACCACCAGCTTTTGGGTTCGCAGCCAAGTGCTTAATCACTGCGCCACCAGGGCTTCTAAATATACCTGTATATATGCATCCATGGGGTCACTGCGAGTCAGAATCAACTCAATGGCAGTGGTTAGTGGGTACGCATATACATGGGGGCCTAGAATGAGTGTGTAATGAACGCCTGGCAGTGACCATGACATGTCTGTACATATACAGGCGTCCACTGTTCCGAACCTTCTGAGGGAAAGAAGGTCACGGCCCTTGAAGAATAAGAGTTGTCTATACAACCGTGGCTGTTACCAACTGCAGTGACATGAGCACTCACACAGCTCACCGGCCACTCCCATGCCAGTTTTGCCACTTGGCCCAATAACAACACCCGTCAGCATTATCCCTTGCAGGGTGTCTCCTGAAGGCCCGGTCGATTTGTGCTCCTAACTGGGAGAGTCACTGGGCTTTGTGACCCAAACTTGGGCAGGCTTTTCGGGCGGGGAGTGAACCTGCTTGGAGAGAGAATGGCTGAGTGCTCCCCCGTGGCCCCCCCCAGGAAGCAGCCGCAAGAGGAGACGAGCCTCCAGCTGTTGGGACCTGCACCAGGACCCAGTCCCAGGTCTCAGAGAGCCACCCTCAGACCAGGCCTGGACAACTCCTGTCCTGGGAGGGTCACTTCTGGTGAGGGAGTCCCAGAGGGACTGTTTAGTATGGGGGCTGGGAGAAGCCCGCCCCTGGCATGTGAGTGTATGCTGACAGGCAGCTGAGCTCGGATGGTTAAGTGATCCTTCCACAGTCGTGCAGTTAGGAGAATAGTCAACATGCCACCTGGATCCATGTGACTCTGAGGTCCCTGTTCTTCCTTTGCTAAGTGGCTACCATGACTGCCGTGGACACCAAGTGGGGATCTGTCATGGGCAGGGCTCCAGGGTGGTTAGCACGGCCCAGGACAGCGGCCTTCTGTTGACAGGACATTGTCGGGCTGCTCTTTGAGTCAACCCCTAAGGCTGCAGATTCCTTCTTGGCCTAGAATGTGTGTTAGAACAAGGATGGTTCGGGGTGGGGTGGCGACTGACTAGCTCTGTCATTCCTGGACTGAGCGGAGACTCTGGGAAATAACTGAATGAGGAACGGGGGGGTCTGCAAAGGGAGCACCCAGGGGTGGTGTAGTAGAAGAGGTGTGAAGGGGCCCAGGCTGGAGCGAGGGACTGATATGGTGGGTTCCCGGCAGGGTCCAGGGGTTGGGCACTGTGCTGCATCCATCACAGGGCCCTGTCTCCCCATCCCTGGGCAACCAAAGGAAGAACCCAGGCTTTGCGAAGGCCCTGCTCTCGGCCTGGCATGCGGGTGCACACATACTCCCACCTGTGAGGACACCTCTACAGGCCACCTGCCATAAGTTCTGACCCAAGATCACAGGCTCTGCGGGGTCAGGAAAATAAAAAAATGTATACCAAAAACCAAACCAAACTCACTGCCATCGAGTCAGATCCGACTCATAGTGACCCCTCCTTGGGTTTCTGAAGCAGTATCACTACGGAAGTAGATTGCCCAATCTTCCTTCTGAGGTGGTTCAAACCCACCAGCCTTCTGGACATATATTCTTAAGTGTATGATTAAGAGTAGAGGAAAATGTTTTCAGCAAATGGTGCCAGGACACTGATTATGCATATGGGGAAAAAAATAGACCTAGATCCCAACCTCACACCATGGACAACCCTTTTTTTGGATGGGTCAAGGTTTTTACTAAGTATAAAACCTAAAACTAAAAATCTTTTGGAAGAATTTGGTGAGTGGAGGCAGACAAAGATCCCTCAGGACATAGAAGAGAAAAAAAAAACTGGGTTCACCTCCTGGCTCTACCACCCACCTGCAGTATTACCTTCAGGAAATCACCTCCATTTTCTGTGTCCTGGTTTCTTCATCTGTAAAACACTCGCCTGACAAGTTGCCTCAGAACTGGAGATGACCAGAAGGGCCCGCTCTACATCTGCCCTCAGACAGTTGCTCACTTGGAAACAGACTCTTAGAGGGGTGCCCTTCCTCTACCCCTCACCCCTGTGTTCCTCTATGCACTTCCCTGTAGAACCAGAAACGAGAGAAAGCGTGGGAAACCGTTTGAATGGGACTTAAGCTTTAGAACAGTGAAACTAAGAACCATGACAATATTTTCTGTTTCTTGAAGATATGAAACATTTTTAAAAAAAATCTTACACTGTATTTAATAAAAAGAGTAAAAGTGAAACTGAACAAGCAAAGGGATGGGGTGGTTTGTGGTTTTAAGTTTTCCAGCAAACCAGACCAGCTGCCAGCTTGAGCTACTTCGGGTAGGGTTTTCAGTGGCTGGTTTTACCGAGATTAGCACCCATGCACTTCACCATTTGCGCCACCCGGGGGGGGGGGCAACAAAGGTTTGCAACAGTGACTCAAGTGGTTTTCTCACGGCCCTCTCGCTCTTCTAACTGCTCTCTTGAAAAGCATCTCTCATCCCTGTCGGTTTGCTCATCAAAGGGAACCAGCCTCGCCCACCCTCCCTCCAGCTTCCTGGCTTTCATCCTCAACCCGGGCCGCCCGGAGAAGCTGCATCTTTTGCAAGGATTGCGGCTCCACTGCGCCCTCACTTGGCACTGCAGTGGCTTTGCATTTGGGGAAAGATCCACCAGCAAAGGCCAGGGAGTCTGTTCATCAGTGAATTTTTGCTTCTGGTACGGCGTCCTAACTGGGGCAGGATCTCTGAATACCCAGAGTCCCCCCCCCCCACAGTGCGTGTGCCCCGTCACAGTGTTCCACGAGTTGCCGAGGTGCACAGACACGCTCACGAGCTGGCCTGTCGCCCCACCGCGTGCACCCTGCTCGGGGCTCTTCCAGAGGGGTCCGGAGTTCCTCTCTGCACTTGAGCCACCGCGTGCGGCCGAGGCCTGGGCTCTTGGAACTTTCCACATCAGAGCTCAAAGCCCCCGGGCTGATTCTAGAAACAGGTCAGGGGCAAAGACAGTACACTCCAGGCAACATTTATTGAGGGTGGCGCGTAGCCGGGAGAGGAGGGCCCCGGGGCACGTATATACAGGGGAACTCCCCGGGGCGAAGGATGGGAGGAGGTGGAGCGACCAGGACGCCATCTGGGGCAGCGCCCCAGCTCAGACAGCCGACGCCAGCTTCCGCTTGGTACTCTCGCTGCAGCGGTGCAGGATGAGGTCGGCGCTGGGACGCGGGGGCACCGCCGGCTGCGGCTTGGCGCGCTCGGTCTGCCGCTGCTCGTCTGCAGACCGACAGCGCGGTAGTGAGGGGCTCCGCCCTCCGCCCGCTCCCAGGCGCCGGCCACGCCCTCTGGGGGCTAGGCCCCGCCCCCGTGTGCCAAGGCTCCGCCCCGGCCGGTTCTCGCGCAGCCGCGGCCCCGGCGCTCCACAGGCCCGGGACTCGCGCTCTCCAGGTCTCGCCCCCTGAGACTTCGGCCCTGCCCCCAGGTGCCCGGGGCCGGGGCAGGTACTCACGCAGCGGGGCCTCAGCGCTCTGCGTTCCAGGCCGCGCCGGGCGGCGGCGCTGCTGCAGGTAGCGGACGCTGTTGCGTCGATAGGTGTCCTGGCTGAGGCGCTTGCGCGACCGCTGGTGGATGCTGTGTGCGTTGCGGATGGAAGACCTGGAGCGGGAGGGACCCGGCGTCGGTCAGAGCCCCGATCACCCTTCCTCGCCTGTCTCTGCCCGCGGGCTCGGACGGCCACTCCTGGGATCCAGAGACTGGCCCGAGACGGTGGGAACGTCCGGGACACCGCACGGCCTGGGCGGCACACGAATGCGGCTACCCGCTCACAGTTTCAGACCCTACCCTCTGCCCACCCACCGCAGACCTAGGCCTGTTTACTACACCTCCCACCGCCCCGCAGCCGCCTCCTCCCCCAGGAAGCCCCCCGGACTTCAGAGCCCTCCCCGCCCATCCCAACGACCCAGGGAACTCTGGACCCAGGGAATGGCTCCTCCATTCCCATCCTGCCTTCCTTCCGCGGCCGGTGGGACTCCGTCCTGTGCCAGCCCAGTGGCCGGACCCGGTGAGGGTCCTGCCTCCCCTGCCAGACTGGGAGCCCCGCCAAGGCTCCCTTGCCTAGGCGCTGCAGATCCAGGGCATGGGCCGACGGAGTGAGCGCACACATTCGTACTGAGACCCGCCCGGCCCGCGGACCCTCGTTCACCTGCGGGGTGGCGCCCCTCGGCTCTTGATCTGGCGTCTGGCCTGGGCCAGGTCCTGTCCTGACTTTTGCAGGTACATGGAAGGGAAGTAGCCTGTAATGTCATCTTTCCTGCAACAGAAACAGACCTTGAGGCCAGATCTGCAGCCTCAGGAGCTCAGAAGGCCTGGGCAGTACCCAGGGAGAACGTTCACCTGACCACCTGACCACCAGCAGAGCCTGCCCTCTGGCCTCGGTCCAGCACAGGGCCTCTCAGTTTGGACATTCCTCTTCCTTTCAGAATGGGGCAGGGGGAAGAAGTTAGCAGACCTGAATGTCCCCAGGGGAGTCTGGCATAAAACATCTGAAATGTCATGGCTTCAGTGTGTCCTTTTTGATCATTACCTTCTGTGTCCTGAGGAATCTTTGTCGGCCTCCACTCACCAAGTTCTTCCAAAAGTTTTTTTAGTTTTAGGTTTTATACTTAGTAAAAACCTGTGACCCATCCAAAGAAAAGGGTTGTCCATGGTGTGAGGTTGGGATCTAGGTTTATTTTTTCCCCATATGCATAACCAGTGTCCCGGCACCATTTGCTGAAAACATTTTCCTCTATTCTTAATCATATACTTAGGAATATATATCCAGAAGGCTGGTGGTTCAAACCCACCAGCCACTCCTCAGAAGGAAGATTGGGCAATCTACTTCTGTAGTGATACCACTTCAGAAACCCAAGGAGGGGTCACTATGAGTCAGATCTGACTTGATGGCAGTGAGTTTGGTTTGGTTTTTGGTATGTATTTTTTTAACTACCCATAGTAAAACTAATTCTTGGCTAATGAGAGAATCATAAGACGATTCTCGGTGCTTGATGGGGATTAACTGCACGTGGGTCTAAAAGGTGAGAAACACTGCTTCAAACCAAGGGTCATGTCGAGCGTATAGCTGCCTGGCCTGAGCCTTGGGATACGTTTGCTGGGGGCATGGGGAGGACCCAGAGCTCTGTCAACACAAGCAAGGATCCTTGGGGAGCACGGCGACTCCAGGGAGATGGCTTGGCAAGCCCCTGGGATTCTGTTTTCCCGCAGAACCAAAAATATTAATTAGTATTCCCAAATTCATTCAGAGTAACATGGAAACGGCAACGAAAGTTTTAAAAAGAGTGATGACTGCCAGTTATGAAATGCAGTAATTGATTCAGTTCTCTGTTAGCAGAGCAGGAATAAGAGATAGACATGCAGGGGACAAGATCCTAAGTTGCAAAGGAAGTGTGCCCTCCCTCAGGACACTCACAGGACAGACAGGATGGGATTACCACTCACCTGCTACAAAGGAGGGAACTGAGCCCAGAGAGGTGCAGTGGCTTGCCCAGAGTCACAGAGCTGAGGCAGCCCAGGGGCCAACAGGCCCACCCCAAGCCAGGGCTGACGCTCATTATGGGGTAGGGGATGCTCTCCTACCTGACGACCCACCAGCCATCCAGGAGCTTATGGATGACGTCGATGGTCTCGCCCTCACCCAGGGACACCTCATCCTCCTCCATGGCAGTGTAGGCCTTGATGGTGACGTAGGGCTCGCCTGGTCCGGGGTGGGAGGGGCATGTGAGGGTCTGCTCAGCACTGCGTTCCCCATGCCCTCTCCCCTTCTGGGCCATGTACCCCCTCCAGCTGGCCCAGCCCCACCTGGATGCACGACCTGCCCTCCTCTGGGCTGTCTCCTACCTCCCTGTTATGGATTGAATCAGGTGCCCTGGAAATGTGCGCTGTAAATCCTAACCCCTACACCTGTGGTAATGAGGCCAGGTCAGTGTAAGGTGTGTTTTAAACCAGTCACTTCCGAGGTGTAAAGGGAGCTGATTAGGCCCAGAAGCACAGATGGGGGAACAGAGATGTCACCTCACGTGAAGAGCAGGAACTGAGGAAAAGAAGCTGGAGAGAGACAAGAGCTGGCAGAGAGAGCAAGCCCTCCCCTGGAGCCAGGGCCCTGAACTCAGACTCCTAGCCTCCTAAACTTAAAGAAAATTAACTTCTGTTTGTTAAAGCCACCCCCTTGTGGTATTTCTTTTATAGCAGCGCTAAGAAACCTAAGGCACTTGACTGCTAACCAGAAGGCTGGCAGTTCAAACCCACCAGCCACTCCTCAGAAGGAAGGTTGGGCGATCTATTTCCGTAGTGATACTGCCTTGGAAACCCAAGGAGGGGTCGCTATGAGTCGGGGCTGACTTGACGGCACATAACAACAACAAGAAACTAAGATAGCAGACAATCCCGATTTTGTTCTAAAAGACCAGGCTTGCTGATCTGATAATCAGAGCCTGGTGAAACCCCGAGACTACAGCCCCTAGTTACCCTTCAGGTCTGGAAATGAACTCACTCCCGTTGCTTCCAGCCAAACAACAGGCATATGGGGTGAACATTTACATTAGGTAGATATACTCCTTAGAAGGATCAATCGTGGGAGAACAGAAGGGCAGTGTTGGCACAGGGAGATAGCTGGGGGTGGTGGCAGAAATGCATGGGAAAGAAGGACACAGGGAAGAGGTAACTACAGGGAGGAAATGGGAAGAGAGCTGTTACACTGGGGAATTGCAGTCAATGTCATGAAACAAAATGTGTATGAACTGCTGTGTGGAAAATGAATTTGCTCTGTAAACTTGCACCCAAATCACAGTAAAAAGGAAAAAACATTTATGTGGAGCCCACTCAGCCTGGGGGTGCCTGTTTGGGGAAGTCTGATAAGGGATGGCACCCCACCTCCAGGCAGCCCTCCTTCCCAAGCCTCAGGTCCGCTCATCACTCAGCTTCCCGATGAGCCTGGCCCCATACCCACGGCCACCAGATGTCCCAGGCTGACCTCACTTCTGCTCCAGTTGTCCTGGCCAAGTGCACCTCTGCCCTCCCAGGCCCCTAAGCCAGCAGCTTGGGGCCTCAGCCCTGACTTGCCCTCTGCCCAGGGCACAGTCGTGCTAGACTGTGGTCCCTGCTGGCTCTCAGAATCCCCGCCCCTCCAGCCCCACCCTCCCCCACTGCCATGGCCTTTTGGGGCAGATGGCAGGGGCACCTGCGTAGTTGGGCTCCGGGTCTTCTGCCTCGTCAGGACTGTCCAGGGGCTCCAGGTAGGATGCCGGGACCCAGCCACGCTTCGACTTCATCTGGCAGAACCACCAGCCTGTGGCAGTATGTGGGGAGGTGAGTCGGGGTGGGAGGGCCTGGCAGCCTCCTGTGGCCAAATGAGATCCCTCTGGGTGGCACAGACACACGAACCTCAAATGTCCCACTTCAGAACTGTCACATTTACCACCATGCAGAAAGCCACAGACTGACAGCTCTGAACCCCCGTCACACCCAGAAATGTGCCCACTCAGGTAAATCCCCATCAAGGCACAATGACGCCATGTATGGAGCCCCTCAGCCAACCCCAGGTGCGCACCCTCGACCCCCCTGAACGGCCCAAGGCTGCCTGAGAACAGAGTTGAGGGTGGGGGGGTGAAGGGGCACCAGGGGGCCAGAGGCTGACCACTCTCGCTCTTCTCCACCACGTCCACCACGTCACCCGAGGCCAGAGCCATCTCCGTGCCCGAGCTCTTCTCGTAGTCGGCGATGGCGCGGTATGTCTGCAGGATGATGGGCCCAGTGATGTCTAGGCAGAGGGGGCAGGGTGAGTGCGCACTTCTGGGAGGGCCTTCTCCTCCTGGGGTCCCCTCTGGGGCCACCAGAACAGCTCCAGGCATACTGGGGGTGGAACCACCCTGTAAACTATAGAGCACCTTCATTTATTGAGAACTTAGTAGGTTCCAAAAATAGCCCTGGTGGTGCAGTGGTGAAGTGCTTGCCTGTTAACCAAAAGTTCAGCAGTTCAAACCCACCAAGTGTTCCATAGAAAAAAGATGTGGCAGTCTGTTTCCATAAAGATTACAGCCTTGGAAACCCTATGGGGCAGGTCTACTCTGGGTTACTGTGAGTCAGAATCAACAAGATGACAACAGGGTAGTAGGTCACCGGGCTCCCTGTGAGTCAGAATGAACTCCATGGCAGTGGCAGTGGGGAATCTGTGGGTGGTGCCAACAGTTAGCACATGCTCAGCTGCTAACCATAAGGTTGAGGTTCTCATCCACTCCGGGCTGGGCTCTGGCCATGTGGTGAGGGAAGCACCTCCAGGGAGCCCCCCTCACTGTGCAGCGGACCCCACAGTGTAGGGACCCTACCCCAGCTGCCACCTCCTGTACTTCCCCACACAGCCCGTGCTCTGGGCGCTCCTGCCTGGCCACCCCGGCTCACCTGCTGCATTGGTCTTGCCATCCTTGGGCATCAGGTATGTCTCCGGCTTCTTCACCCTGCAGGGGAGGGCACATACCCTGGGTTAGACACGCTGCTCCCACTGGGGACAGGCGACCTACGGCAGAACTTCCCAACAGAAAAACCAGCTCGTGAGGGAGAGCGGCTCCATGGACAGAAGGGGTGGGGCACGCTGCCGGGGGGTGTTAGGGAATGGCAGGGGCCCTCTGCTGGCCCGCCCTAGTGCAGGGCGTGGGAAGCCACAGCTGCCAGCAGGCCATCCTCCTCCAGCAGGATAGAGCAGTGCACTAGGTCGTCCCGAGTCTGGGTGAGGCAGGTAAGTGCTTGTCTGCTGACACTGGTGATTGTACCCACGGAGAGGCACCTTGGTAGATGGGCCTGATAATTTGCTGCTTTGAAAACCCTGTGGAGCAGTTTGATTCGACAGCAACAGGCCCCTGGCCACCTCCCTTCTTCTGAGCCTGGAGAGGCGCTGCAGGGGGCCAGCTGCTACTCCCCCGCCCCCCGCCCCAGGTGAACTAGGGCAGCGAGTCCTTCAATGAGAGGCCACAGCAATGGCTGGAGTAACTGCCGCTGCTGGCTGCAGCCTGGGGTGAGGGCGAGGGGCAGACCTGTGCTGCCCCACAGTCAGTGACCAGAGGAGGACAGAAGGAGGTGCCTCCTAGCCTATCCCAGTTACCGCCCCTAGAGCCTCAGCCTCTCAGACGCCAGTGTCAGGCAGGGCCCTGAGAGCAAGAGGTCTGGGAGAGCCGCCAGCAGGAGCCCCAGACGCATTCAGCCACCAACACACTCAGAGGTGCGCTGCACTCCACAGTTTGCAAGCACGCCACGCTTCAGTTTGTAAGAGCTCCACATTTACAATTTGCAAGCGCTGTGCACTTCACTGTCTATAACGCTCTGCACTTCATCCATTGCAGCATCTGCCCCCCTCCCACGCCCTGACAGATGGAGAAACCCAGTTTAGAGAGGGTGGTGAGGCGCCCCAGGATCCCGCCAGGGAACTGCGGGCTATGAGACTCGAGCCCAGGATCCGAGGACTAGCCCCACCCCGGGAACCGCCCCTCCTGGAGAAATTGCCCCGCCCTGACAGCTGGCCCCGCCCCGAGAGCGGCCCCTCCTGGAGGACTGGCCCCGCCCCAAAAGCTGCACCGCCCAAAGGACTGGCTCCGCCCCAACACCTGGCCCCGCCCCGAGAGCAGCCCCTCCTGGACAACTGGCCCCGCTCAGAGAGCTGGCCACCCGTCTCGCCCGAGAGCGGCCCCGCCTAGAGGACTGGTCCCGCCCCGCGAGCTGCCCCGCCCAAAGTACTGGCTCCGCCCCAACTCCTGGCCCCGCCCCGAGAGAGGCCCCGTCTGGAGGGCTGACCCCGCCCCGAAGGCGTCCCTGTCCAAAGGACTGGCTCTGCCCTGACACCTGGCCCCGCCCGGAGAGCGGCCGCGCCTTGGGGACTGACCCCGCCCCGAGAACTGCACTGCCCGAAGGACTGGCTCCGCCCCGACAGCCGGCCCCGCCCCGAACGCTGAGCTTCGGGTCACAAGGGCAGAGCTGGGCCCAGGCCTCCTGCCCCAGCTGTATGAGTTTGGGCCAGTGACCTCCTTTCTCTGAGCTTCTGTCCTGGCCCTGTGAGCCCTCCAGCATGGGCGCCGCCCGCCTCCCGTGCCCCTGCGGGAGGCTGGAGGGAGCCACTCACTGGCTGTCCGCGGGCAGCTTGAGGTCGTCGGGGCGCACCTTGAAGAAGTCGAGCAGGTGCGAGCAGCGGGAGATCTTGACGGGCAGCCCCATGAGAGCGTTGCAGTACTCGGTGAGCGTGCCCTGGCGGCTCTCGGCTGTCCGCTGGCCATCAAACCACCGCGGGGCTGCCGGGCAGGACAGGGCCCCAGAGGCCCAGTCAGCGTCCACGGAGGGAGGGGACCCGGACCAGGGGCCCGCCCAGCTGACGTGCACACCCCTCACCTGGCAGGTGCGGGATGATCCTGTTCTCCGGGTTGATGTCCCCTGCCTCGATAGGGAACATTTCTTTTAAGATTTTCTAGACATTGAAGAAAGAAGAGGTATGTGAAGGGCTGTCCTTTGCAACACCACCATCTGTAACAGCACAAAGCTGGACCAACCCACATACCCTTGCCTTCTGGTGGCACCAGCCAGAAACTGCCCTAGCCTCTTAGGTCCCTGTTTCTCCCCCACCCCCATCCAAGCCACCCACAAATCTTTGGGCCCTACTCCAAAAATGTATGGTGAATGGGACCGCCCTACAGCCAGCCCCTGGTCCTGGCCACCACCATGCCCATGTCTGGGTTATTACAACAGCCACCACGTCTCTCCTTCTTTCCCTCTTGTCTACCCTCAACCCAGCGGGATCCTGTGAAAACCAGGTGGGAACGTCCCTCCTTTGCTCAGAGCCCTCTGGCTCTGACTCTCCCCCAACCCCGCAGCTCTCATCTCCATCAAGTCTTGGCTGAAATATCACCTTCTCCTTGATTCTGTCCCAGACCAGGAACCAGAAGCCACCACACTCTGTGACCAACACATTTCCCCTCACCCAGTACTTCCTGTCCCCTTCTCTGCTCTGTTTTTCTCACAGGACTTATCACCTTCTAACTGCCCGTTTCCATGACGTGTTTTCTGTTGGCTTCTTCCCCTGACACCTCCACTGGGACTTTAAGTCCACAGGGAAGGCAAGGATTCGTATCCACTTTGTGTACCCTCGCCACCTTCAGCTGTGTCCTGTGCACCACCTGGAACATGCCCGGCACTTAGTAGGTGCTCAGTAAACAGGTGTTGAATGAAGGAACGAGTCCACCAGTTAATAAAAAGGACTAATCACACAACAGAATAGTCTAGAACAATTTAAAGAGGTGGGATAGGTCTACACGCATACCAGCATGGCCATGTCCCCAAAACATAACTTATTGACAGAAAATTAGAGAAGGGGGCATACAGTACACGGGTGTTCACTGGGCAGTACTGCAGATTGCTGTTAGACTCAGACTGGTGTGTGAGTGAGTGAGTGTGTGGTCACTAGGGCCAGGAGCTGGGACCAGGGGTACAGGATGAAGGGAGCCTTCAACTTCTTTCGTAATGTTTTGTTTTGTTTCTTTCAAAGAAGCCTCAAAGCAGGTGGCCCGGTGGCATCGGTTGTGAATTGTAGGTGCCGGGTGTGCAGGGCTGGTTACGCTCCTTGTTGTGTGCAGCTGCCTCTGAACTTCCCTACACGGAGCAGGGTGGACCCTGCAGGGCTCCTCTGCCTATTATGAGGCCTAGCATGTGGGGATGGGCCTTTGGGGGACTCATGTGGCTTTTGTGGACCATCTATCATCCCCTGACCCTGTCTCAGACCAGAAGCAGCCACCATGCTCTGCATACCGTGACCCGCGACTATCATCCCCGTCCAGTCCACCCAGCCGCTGGTGCCTGGGGCTGCCCCGTGAGACCAGTGCACAGAAGGGCACCGGGGTCTCTCACATAACTCCTGGTGAGAGCAAAGCCAGGTTGCCGTCGAGTTGATTCCAACTCATGGAAACCCCGTGTATGTCAGAGTAGAGCTGTGCTCCATAGGTTGTCAGTAGTTGAGTTTTGGGGAAAGAGATCACCAGGCCTTTCTTCCGAGGGACCTCTGGATGGACTCAAGAGTCTAACCTTTCAGTTAGCAGCTGAGCACACGAACTGTGCCACCCAGGGACCCCACAGAGCAAGAGGACCTGGCTCTTGGCTGTCAGAGCTATCAACCCTCCTTTTGATATGACAGGAGTCCCTGGGTGGTTAAGTGCTTGGCTGGGAACTGAAAGGCTGACAGTTCCAACCCACCTCAGAAGAAAGGTGATCCACTTGAAAGGGTCACAGCGATTGAAAACCCTAAGGAGCGGTTTACTCTGAAACCCATGGGGTCGTCACGAGTCAGCACAGACTCAGCAGCAACTGGTTGGGGTCGGGGGGTGGTTGAACACTGGGGTCCTAATCAGGGCAGGGTCATCAGTGAAAGAATCAGCTCCCAGGAGGAAACAAACCCTCGGTGGTGACACTGGCCAGGCTGCTCCCTGCAGGGACGGAGCCAGTGTGTCCCTGAACCACCGGATCCCCCGCACTGTGGGCTGGTGGGATTCAGGGGTCCGCAGGACGCCCCACCCCACTGCACCCCAATCGCCATCTGGGCGGCTTCCCCCCCCCCGGGGGCACTCACGTGGAACTCGTAGATGTCCGTGAACCGGCGGTAGACCACCTTCTCCGACAGGTCCTGCCACTTCACCAGGAACATGTATACCTGGAGTGGGGTCAGACGGGGGCCTCGTTCTGTTTCTGACAGCCTTGTCGTCTACCTGCCCACCCACCCAGGACTCGGGGGCTCGATCCGGGGCAGTTCAGGCATGCTGTTCATGGGTCCAGAAGCTACCACTCCCCAACTTACGACCACAGGCAAAAGGGCCGGCTTCCCTGACCCTCAAATTCCCCATCTGCAAGTTGGGGATAAAATTAGAATTTTATACTGGGGCTGGGGTAGGAATTCAGAGGCATAGCAGAGGGGAGGAGTGGGGAACTGCCCCCTGGGGCAAGTCCAAACGGACACCAGACCAGGCTGCCAGGGAATGACACCCCCCACGATGCCGGCACCTTCCCAAGCCCCAACCTAGAGATGGCCCTGGGTGCTCAGCACCCCTCCGCCCCTGAGAGAGTTACGTATGGGAAGACAGACAGAAAGGGCTGGGCTCGAACAATGAAAGCACTCCGTCAGATTCTGTGTAATTCCATCTCTGTAAGATACTCATGGGAGCTCTGGTGACATAGTGCCTAAGGCACTTGACTGCTAACCAGAAGGCTGTCGGTTCAAACCCACCAACCACACTCCTTGGAAGGAAGGCTGGGAAATCTACTTCTGTAGTGATACTGCCTCGGAAACCCAAGGAGGGGTTGCTAAGAGTCGGAATGGAACAACATATAGGAACAAAGGTAGATTGGTGGTTGCTGGCGGCTGTGCAGGGCCGGGGGTGAGAGCGTTCTAAAAGTGATTTTGGTGACAGTTGTATAACTCTGTAAACATAACTACAAACCATTGAATTGTACGTTTTAACGAGATGAACGTACGGTATATGGACTGTATCTCAGAGCTCTTATTAATAAAAAAGAACTCAGTAAGGAAAAATAAGCATGCAGAAATAGCTAGAGGAACAAACAAAAGACAGGCATATGGGCTGAACATTGACATCAGGTAGATACACTCCTTGAAGAGATCAATCATGGGAGAATAGAAGGGCTGTGTATACACAGGGAGACAGCCCGGGGGGCAGGAGTGCATGGAGGGAAGGACACAGGGAAGGAAGAGGTGACTATGGGGAGGAAGTGGGGGGGAATGTTGCATTGTGGGAAATTGCAGTTAATGTCATGAGACAAGGTGTATGTGAATTTGCTCTGTAAACTTTCACTCAAATCACAATAAAAATTAAAGACGAAAGCTAGAGGGATACTCCCAAAACCAAACTCACTGCCATCACGTCGATTCTGACTCATAGTGACTCCCACTGGGTTTCCAAGGGGTGTGGAAGTAGATTGCCCTAGCTTCCTTCCAGAGCAGCTGGTGAGTTTGAACCACAAGCCTTCCAGTTAGCAGGCATATGCCTTAGGCACTGAGCCACCAGAGCTCCTTAGAGGGTTACTACTTAGCTACCACTAGGAACCGGTCACGGAAATGCAGCAACATGGGTGGCTCTCAGACACCCTGTGCCGAGCAGGCACACACGTGTGCGTGAACAGAGGCCGCTTTGGTGGCATCCAAGGATAAAACTGACTTAGGGGGAAAAAGAGAAGTGGTTGTCTGTGGGAAGCGGTGGGGGCTGACTGGGGCGTGAGGACACATTCTAGGGGGACAGAAAGGGTCTGTATTTTGATGGGGGTTGGGTGTGCGGGCACATGTACTGTCAGACTCAGCAAAGGCATCCTAACGATTTCGAAGTCCATTTTATAGAAATTTGACATGAAAAGAGCGCATGGATTAACAAATACTGTTCTGCAGGTAATGACACGTGTGCTGAAGTTTTCAGGGAGAGGTATACCGATGTTTCACCGAGCCCTGGTGGCACAGTGATGAAGCACTCGGCTGCTATCTGAAAGGTCGGCTGTTCCAACCCACCAGCTGCTCCGTGGGAGAAAGATCAGGCAGTCAGCTTCTGTAAAGATTGTTGTTGTTATGTGCCGTCGAGTCGGCCCTGACTCATAGCGACTCCTCCTTGGGTTTCCGAGGCAGTATCACTACGGAAATAGATTGCCTCATCTTCCTTCCCAGGAGTGGCTGGTGGGTTTGAACCGTCAGCCTTCTGGTTAGCAGTCAGATGCCTTAGGCACTACGCCTAAACTGCACTGAAAGCTTAAACTTGATGTAATACATTCGTGGTTCTGTTGTTCACGGTGCTGTGGGTGTAGAGATGGTGTAATGATTCTCTGTGTTGTAACACTGAGCAAAGCAGTAAACATTGATTTTCAGGGGGACTACACACATAAATTGGTGAAAAGCAAAAGTCACATGAAACAATCAGTTTCCCCTCTGCCCCGTTCTGTAAGCAGTGAGCACGCGCAGCACGGGATCTTGGTTCTAAATTCCACTCCCCACTATTGAGAGCCAAGGTTCTGGACAGACGTGGCTGAGGCCGGGGTGGGGCAGGGAAAGTACAGGCTGACTCGGGAACAGTTTGTGCCAGAAGGAAGGGCGTGCTCCAAGAATGAGGGGGCGCTTCAAAAGGACACAGAGCCAGCTTGAAGGAGCGCCCGCTGGGACGATTTGGGCATTAAAAGACAGTGATACACAGGATTCTGACCTATTGAGTAAAGTAAGAATCAACCAACCAGCAGGAAGAGAACCCTGCTTCTCACAGTCGAATGCTAACTAATAAATGCAGAACGACAGAGTTAGAATCACCGTTCGCAACCACTGTAGTGATTCCTTTCCTGGCAATCTTTATAGTGATTAGACTCCAGCACAAGTCACCAACGCACTTACTGCAAAGAACACAGGATATTCACATAGTTTCACAGTCTCTCCTCAGAGACAGATTCTCTCCCTACAGAGGGAAAAACAGTAAGGACAGTGGAGAAAACAGGACACCTCCACTCCTACTGATCACAGTTAACATCATCGTATTGAAACAATCTAAAGCGAGTGCCACCCACGTGCATAGAGATGGAAGCTGGTTAATGGTGACCGGGGCGGGCAGGAGGGTGGGAGGGGGGACTCGTGATTCAGGGAACGCTGAGCTTCCGCCGAGGGTGATGGAAAATTGTGGAAGGGTGTTGGCTAAACAATGCGATGAAGTGATGAATGTCACAGAGTTGTACGCATAAAAACAATGTTCAATGGCACATGCTTTGTTACGTATCTATTTACCACATAAAAACCAAAACAAAACTTCTGACGGTCCTGTTAGAATAAATACAGTTGTTAGTTGGTTGGAGGTGACTCTGACTCAGGCGACCACGTGTGGGCGTCACATTAGAACTGCTCCAAGGGCCTTTCAACGCTGGGACCTGTTGGAAGCAGGTCACCAGGCCTGTCTTCTGAGGCGCCTCTGGGTCACTTTGACCTGCTAACTTTTTGGCTGAGTCATTAACCATTTGTGCCACCCCCCAAAAAAAAACAAACCGAACCCACTGCCATCGAGTGGATTCCGACTCATAGCGACCCCCATTGGGTTTCTGAGGCGGTAACTCTTTACGGAAGTACATTGCCCAGTCTTCTCTCTGGGGAGTGACTGGTGGGTCACCCAGCTGCCTTAAATACAATTTAGTGGTTACAGAAAAGAATTGTGTGCACCTGTTAGGATGGAACGAGCCTCACTTCTGAGACAGCCCTGGCCCAGATTCACAGCCTGAATCAGAGAGCCACAGACAAATCCAGACCGCGGGGCAGTCTGCCAGGTAAGTGACCTGCTCTCTTCAAAATGTCCAAGCTGAGAAAGGTGGAGACAGACTGAGCAGGACTGTCACAGGTTAAAGCAGCAGCGTAAGGAGGCTTTATCCTTATGCTTATGACAACGGCTGATCCTGGAGTGGATCCCGGACCCCAAACAACTGCTACAGGGACAAACAGGATGGCTGCTGAAATGTGAAGATGGTCAGGGGTTAGAGAACAGTGTGGTAGCAATACTAGTTTCCTGATTTTGACACAGCTGCACGGTGGTTATGAAAGAGAATGGTCTTAATTTAAAGAAACACACCACTGCCGTATTTAGGGGTGAGGAGCTCTGGTGGTGCAGTGATTAAGGCATTGGGCTGCTAACCAAAAGGTCGGTGGTTCAAACCCACCAGCTGCTAGAGGAAGAAAGATAAGAAGCAGCCGCCATGTGTTTGTAAAGATTTATAGGCTTGGAAACCCAGTGGGGGTTGCTATGAGCGGGAACAGACTGAAGGCAGTGAGTTTGCTTTTGGCTTTGTATTTAGAAGTAAAGAAATGCAAAGTTTCCAGCTTACCCCCAGTGATTCAGAAAATTTATATTCAGAGAGAGAAAAAGAAATCAGGGGAGTGATTGGTACCTGTTTTGAGTAGTGTTTTGTAAATGTGAAATTATTTTGAAATTAAAAGTCAAAAAGAAAAAGGGCTCGGCTCACAGTAGGGGCTCAGGGAATGGCGCTCCTACCCTTGGACCTGGGGGCCCCTGACCGTGGAGGCGTCTGCTCAGACAGTCCTTCAGCCCTCGGGGCAGGAGGGGGACTTGGCTACCTTTGTGGGGTGTCATCCTACCAGAAGGGGTAAGACTCTAACTGGCATCCTGGGGCGCTGGAGGGATTGACAGCCTTTCCCCCCAACCTCCAGGACAGCCTCTCTCTCCAAGCTCAGGATGGTCCTGGAGGGCTCCCCAGAGGAGTGGCCCCTGGAACCGAGCTCTGGAGCAGAGAAACCCCTGGCTGCGCCGGGGGGAGCAGGGAGGGAGGTGGCTACAGGGGCTGGGGGCCCAGGACTCCCATCTTCGTCAAAGGACCTACCTCACGGTGGACCCAGACGGACAGACTGAGGCCGCAAGACAGGAGCCACTTGCCTTAGTCCTCAGCTCATCCGGGGAGTACCCTGGTGTGTGGGGGTCGGACTTCTTGTGGAGGGGGGACCCCTGGCTACTCACGTAGTGCTGACTGGGCACGAAGCGTTTCTCAAAGCCCAGGAGGGCGATGTGGCGGATGAAGGGGTCTCCCATGGTGGGGCTGCGGGGCTGCGGGCCTCTTGGCTCCCGGCCGGCGCTTTGAGCGCGGCCTTATATGCGCTGGAAAGAGGAAGTCACCCTGCGGAAGAGGGGCTGGGGAAGAGGGGCGCGGGAAGGGCCCTGCTTCTTCTTTCAGTTTCTGGGCAGTCTCCAGGGTCCCGGCTCCGGGCGCGGAAGGCCGCGCACGTGTGTGCAGGGTCCGGGGGCGGAGGGCGGCGCACGTGTGTGCAGGGTCGGGGCGCGCAGGGCAGCGCACGTGTGTGCAGGGTCCGGAGGCGGAGGGCGGCGCACGTGTGTGCAGGGTCCGGGAGCCTAGGGCCGTGCACGTGTGTGCAGGGTCCGGGCGCGGAGAGCCACGCGCACGTGTGTGCAGGGCAGAGTATAATCTTCGCCTCCCCGTGGCCTTGGGGAGGTGCTGTCATCTCACCCTCGTCTTCCTGGCTCCCTCTGCTTGGGCCATAGCTGCCTCTCTGCTGCTCCCAGAAAACCCCACAGGGCCATGGCACCTGCTGTCCCCACATGCAGGTCTCTGCTCAAATGCCGCCTTCCTGGACAACTTCACATCAAATAGCAAAGCCTCCCACCTCCTCCCTGCTTGCATTTTCTCCAGAGCACTTACGCTGACTGACACGGTCCTGTAACCCTATGGTGGTGCTGTCCAGGCAGTTCCCACCCACAGCCCGCGTACAACAGACCAGCGCTGCCTGGGCCTGCCCCGTCTTCCCCATCATTGCCATGTCTGAGCCAGCCCACTGTTGGCATGGTGTCCGTCCATCTAGCTGAAGGTCGTTTTTTTCGCTGACATTCTATTAAGCATGATGTCCTTCTCCAGAGACTGGTCCCTCCTAATAACATGACCAAAGCACGTGAGACAAACTAACCAGCCCCGTTTCTAAGGAGCTTTCTGGCTGCACTTCTTCCAAGACAGATGTTTGTTTCTCTGACAGTCCATGTCTAGTCACTATTTTTCACCAACACAATTCAAATGCATCAACTCTCTGGCTGTCCTTTCTCATTGTCCAGCTTTCACATGTGTATGAGGCGACTGAAAACACCATGGCTTCAAAGTAACACCTGTGCTCTTCAACCCCTTAAGATCTTTTGTGCTCCATTTGCCCAGTGCTTAGTCTTTTGATTTCTTGACCGTTGTGTCCATGAGCACTGACTGCAGTTCCAGGTAAAATGAAATCCTTGACAACTTTCAGTCTACTTTTATCATGCTTATTGGTCCACTTGGGAAGATTTGTTTTATGGTGAGGTGTACTGAAGGCTGTAGCCTTTGATCTTTGTTTTTTTTTTTTAAACTAGTCGAACCCTTCTGGCAGCGAGCCTCCTGGCAGGGAACGACTTCGTCTGTTTGGAAAAAAGCTCTAGCCCCAGCGCCCAGAACTGGCACTTCGTGCACCCTGCATCAATACCTGGAGACTGACTGACTCACTCACTGAGCAAACGCAGCCTCCGTGGGACAGCGGCCAGCGGCTGAGTGCGAGTGGCAGCCAGGACTGTGACACAGACTTCGAAGGAGACCCGAGTTCAAATCCTGATTCCACTTTCAAGACATCGCTCCTCAGCGGACTCAGTTCCATCCTGGGTGAAATGGGACCATCACGTCTGAGAGGAAAGGTATTTGGGATGCAGAGGTGAGTTAAGAGTGGTGAGCGAGTGGAGGGGTGTGGCTGGGCCGGGCAGCCATGAGGCGGGGTGCGAACGTTCAGGTGGAGAGGACGACACTGGGAGCCGGTGAGCAGGTTGCTCCGAGCTCCACGGGCGTGAATGTAAAAGCTGCAGGCAACACTACTTCCCGCAGAGGCCCGGGAGGCTCGGGGCTTGTATAGTTCTGCCCAGGTCACACAGCAAGTGGCCCTCGCAGCTGGAGCCCAGGGGAGATGGGCACAGCCTGTGACCCAGGCCTGCAATTCCAAGAAGTGGACAAGGTTGAGAGAAGACAGCAAAGGCGCCCAGCACTAAGGGGCTTGCTCCCAGAGCCGTAGACACCCTAGAACACAGTGGGTGAGGACTGGGACCCAGTGGGGGGGCAGTCTTGATGGGCTGTGTTGTGACAGCTAATGGGACCCTGTCAAGTTCGTTGTTCCTGACCCTCATCACAAGGTGCAGGGTCCATCCCTCTGTTCTGATTCTCTGGACAGGTACACCGAGTGTGAAAGCAACCCCTCACTGCCCCTCCCGTCCCAGGTCACCAACATGGGACTCAGCCCTGGAAGTCCTCTCCATTAACGACGCAGGAAATCTCCACACTAAATACGGAGGTCTGGTAGCCTAGTGCCTAAGGGATCTGACTGCTAACCAGAAGGCTGGCGGTTCAAACCCACCAGCCACTCCTCAGAAGGTTGGGCAATCTACTTCCGTAGTGATACTGCCTTGGAAACCCCAGGAGGGGTCGCTATGAGTCAGGGCTGACTCGACGGCACATAACAGATAGATATAACGGGCCACCACCCAGGGATGAAAAGGACCCGCTGCTGCACAGGAGCCAGCCACAGCCTGTCTGCGGGGCGCTGGGGCTCAGGGTGAGGGGTGGGCGGTGCCAGAGGAGCAGCATATAGAGAAGGCTAAGGACACTGGTGACGGGGCATCCACTTTGTGAGAATTAATCCAGCCCCACACGCGGAAGATGCGGCCACGGCCCTTTCCTGTCCGGTTGGTTTACATCCAATGAGTCTAAAAGATGACGGTGGGGTCGTTCAGTGGTTATGATGTCACGTCAGTGGGCGCAGCCCTGCACGAGGTGGCTGTTTAGGTGTCCCCTCGTCTCTGTCTTTCCTGTCCCAAACGGGACTGCCTCGAAGGCCCCAGCTGGGGCCGAGCAGTGTGGCTCCCCTGGCCGGCCAGGCCGGGCGTGAGTCGTTGGCCCCGGGCACGCACTTCCCCGTCTCTCCTCCAGTGGTCTTTCCACTCTTGCCTAACTGCCTGGCCAGGCCACCCTGTCCTTGGGACGCCAGCTGTGGCTCTGAGCCGGGGTCCCGGTTCCCCTGGGCTGGCGGTCCAGCCTGTGCCACACCTCGACCCTCCTGTGGGGCCCAGCAGACAGCAGGCACTGCTGGGCTGGGCTGGGACCTGGGTGTGACCTCTGCCAACCCAGTCAGGGTGAGGCAGCGTTTGCTGAAATTCGTGGATGGAACAAGTGACCAAATGATTAAAAAAAACGAAGGAAGGAAGCAATGAAGGAAGTTACGAGTAAAGTGTTTTTATGGAGAGAAGACACAATTGTTTTAAGCTTTTATTGGGAAATACATAGCCAATGGAGAGGAAGATGTACAGCGTAACTCATTACTGTGAGACTGTAATTATCACCAAGTGGACACGGAGGTAACCCCTCAGGTGTCAGATTAACTGGAGCCAACTGCCCGCTGAGGGCTAACAGGAAGGACTCTCGGGCTGAGGTCCTGTCAGCGCCTTCTCTCTGGCATCGTGGTTATCCTCACAGTGAGTCCATCAGCTTGAACGTACACTTGGCCACCATGTACAGACTGGGAAACTGAGGCACAGACAGTGGACAGGGTGCTGGATATATGGGCCAGGGCAGAGGTGGGGCTCGAACCAAGCTGGACCTCAAGCCACTCTCTGAACCACTGGGCCCTTGCGTGTGGCTCTTGAAGGTGGGTGTGAATGAATGATTAGGGGGTGAGGAGCTTACACTGGAGAAACCAGTCTCCAGGAAGGCCCCAAAGGAAGGAACTGCTCTAGGCAGGCCACGCCGTAGGGGAGCTCGAGTCTGGGCCTCTGCCCAGAGAGCGCATTGTTTCCTGCCTCGGGGACCTGGCTTTGGGGCTGCGCTGGTCAAGTCCTCAATCAAGAAACCCCAGAGGCTGGGTCCACAGCAACAGGTCGTGTGCCAAGGATGTTGGTCAGGGCGTCAGTCCTGCTCCCTGCCCCCTAGGACCTTCTGCCAGAAAGAGACTCACAGGCTTCCTGGGTTGGGATGATGGGCTCTCACTGGGCTCAGTCCTTCTCTTACACCCTTCCGGATGGCCTTTCTTGAGCAAGGAGCACCGATCCCCATGTCAACTTTGGGCCAGTCACAGGCTGGGGACTAAGAGCCACTTGGCTGGGATGGCAGCTCTCATGGTAAAGGCTGGTCCAAGGGGAGCTCAGCCTTCGTCAGGCTCTTCCCAGGGCTGCGTGGGATGCAGCAGGGGTCGGAGTCTACGGGGTGGGCTGTGTGTGAGGGTGGAGGTGAGGCCACTTGTAGGCATCGCGACTGTCCCAGCCAGGCAGACCACCAGCCAAGCATGGGCTGTAGCTGCAGTCCTGGGTCAGCTCCCAGTGCGCTGCACCATCTGGTGGCGCGCCTGGCACCAAGCTGGTCTCAGCCAACTCCACTCTTACAAAAGCAGGCCCCACTGGGGCTGGGAAGATCCCAGGGACTGGCCTGTGGCTGCCCTCAGCAGCTACTTCCCGGCTGACACTATTCCGCCGGGGTCTGGGCCCATCAGGTGGTGGACGTTAGACAAACCAAGTACTGAACTGGAATACAGCAGCATGCTGCCATTGCAGGGTCTTTGATTTTTTTTTTTTGGGGGGGGTGTATTTATTTTTTCTAGTGAGGTAATGGGCTTCAAGACTCGGTGATCACCATCTCTCCAGCCCTGAGAAGTCACAGTGGGGACTGTCAGTCTGGAGGCAGGGTGCCAGTGGACAGCAGGCTGGGGGCTGGTGGGAGGAGGGGAGGAAGCTGCAGTCTGGTGCAGCTCACCTGCCACCTTGCCGTGTCCTGTACCAGTCCCCAGGCCCCAGCTTCTCACCCTGCAGAGCCTATGTTCGTCTCCAGACACTGACTAGAGCAGCCCGGGGCTTGTGGACCTCAGCGCTTGCTAGCTTCCAGGACAGGTAGCAGCCCGGGGCTTGTGGACCTCAGCGCTTGCTAGCTTCCAGGACAGGTAGCAGCCCAGGGCTTGTGGACCTCAGTCGGCGCTTGCTAGCTTCCAGGACAGGTAGCAGCCCTGCCCTGACACCTCTGCCAGAAGCCTGCCCTC